TCACACTTCGCTGGATGGATGCTTGGTGATGCATTGTCCGCCTGTCATTGCGGATGAAGGCGGGGGAGGGAAGAGGTGCTGGTGTTCCTGTTCTTGGGGGGTCTTCCCCCGGGAGGAAAACGGAGGCCTCCACCGCCCCCTCCACGCCCTCTCACATGTGGTGGTGCGATCTGGTGCGAGATCACCACACCTCTCCCGGCCTCATCGTTCCTCCCCCTTCTTTCCCCTCCTCCCCCCCCGGCCTCCAGCGACCTCGGACGTGCCCCCTCCTCGCCCGTCGTCGTCGTCCTCCCCCTCCGGTTTAGGATTTTGAAGGTCTACCGGCCCGCCCCGCGGTCGCTCGTGGCGGCCAACTCGCGGGACACGGAGACGGAGACGGAGAGACGCCTCCAGGACGGCCCAAGCAACCCGCAAGAGTGCTCCAAGAGCGTGCCCAGACGGGGACGCGAACGGACACCTCGAGCCCTCGGGCCCAAGGGGCCCTCAAGAGGCCCCCAAGAAGCCTCCAAGAGGCCCTAAAGGAGACCTCAGAACCCCCCCCCAAAAAAAAACCAAAGTGGGCCCCAAGAGGCCCCGAATTTCCCCCCATCATCGCGCGCCGCCGAGCTCTCCCAGACCGAGAAGGACCACGAACCGACATTTCGAGCTTCCCGCCCCAAGAAGCCCCCCAGAAGCCCCCGGAAGGCCCCAAGAGCCCCTCAAGGGGCCTGAAGAGGCCCCCAAGAGACCCCCGAAAGGTCCCACAGAGGCCCCAACAAGCCCGAAAACATCCAAGAGACCGTCCAACCACAACCCCAGCACGGTGGCGGTAAGGGCCGCAGGCCACGAGGCTCCCTGTCTGTCTTTGCTACGACTCCCTCGGCCCACATGGGGAACATCTCCTTCGCCTTTTCCTGCTCCCTTCCACCTTAATCCCCCTCCTCCTCCTCCTCCTCCTCCTCCTCCTCCTCCTCCTCATATTCGTCGTCGTTGTCGTCGTCTTCAAGGTCGGCGGCAGCCGTAAGGCCTTAGCAATCTCAACAAGACCCCCAGGAGGTCAACGCCGGAGCCCCAAGACTCTCCAGCAGGGTGACCTCACGGGGGAACCGAACGGACATTTCGAGCCCTCGGCCCCGAGAGGGTCCCAGGAGGCCCCAAGAGGCCCCACAAGGCCCCCAGGAAGCCCCAAGAGGCTCCCAAGAGGCCAAGAGGCCCCCAAGATGCTCCCAAGAGGCCCCAAAACTGCCCTCCTGAGGCCTCCGAGAGCGCTCCGAAGAGACCCCGAACACCATGCCTGAGGACTCTGACCCACGTCAGCGTCGTCGTCGTCGGCGGTGTCCCCCTTCAGGGTCGGCGGCACCGTCCGTAAGGCCTTCCCAATAGAAAGCGTGGCGTGCTGTCCTCACCGTTGTGTGAATCAAAACGTCGCCAGGCAAACCAGAAACCTCACTAGAGCCGACCTGCGATAGGAAAACTCCTGCAGCGAATCTTGACCTGAGAAAAACAAAGAACACGCAGCATGCGAATACCATGCGAATACCCCCGAAGGCCAGCAAAACTGGACACACACACACACGCACACAGCAAGACGAGGGAAGGCGAGGGCAAAGGGAAGGACAGGAATCGGATCCGCAAGTGTGGCCAGAAGCACACTTTGAAAAACAAAAACGCTACGATCGAAAGCAACCATACTTGAGCATCGTTTGCCCGACCCCTAACCCCATGGGAGTGGCCTGGGCCCCACTGGCCGATTTACCCCCCTGGATGGGACGTAGGCTGTTGCCTTCGGGTTTTGAGGGGCATATCCTCAACTGGGGTGCTGAGATGGCGGGTGTCTGGATAGGGATGGGGATGGGGATGGGGATTGGGGTCGGTCAAACGATGCCAGATACTCTCAAGCAACACATGTTTGAAACCCAATGCGTAACAATAACATGCGGGGAGACATGCGGCGCCCCGCTCGCACAAACATCCCGGGAAGACAAGAGAGCAGACCTCGTATGGATTGACCGTGGATGGGCAGGGGGAGGGGGCAGGAGGATGAAGGCGAGGCGAAGGCGAAGCGGGCAGGGCGAGGGGGGGGGGGGGGCAGAGCGAGGGGAGGAGAAGGCGCAGGGAGAGTACGTAGGGGGAGGAGGAGGAGGAGGAGGAGGAGGAGGAGGAGGATGAGGGAGGAGGGAGGAGAGGAGGAGGAAGACGAGAAGAGGGATAAGAACGAGGATGGAGAGGGGATGATGGGGGAACGGGGGAATAGGAGCGATGAGGAGGGGGGGAGGGGAAGACGAGGAAGGAGGAGGAAAAGGAGGGGGAGAAAGACGAACGACGAGGAGGAACGACGAGACAAACGAGACACGAAGGCACGCTCCCAGTTCCGCTTCCGCTGCACTTCAACTTCCGCCCTCCTCTGCCCCGTCCACCGCCACCCCTCCTCCCGCTCACCCCCGAGGGGGGGCGAGACAGGGCGGGAGCGAGTGGGAGGAGGGGTGGTGATGGACAAGGGCGGGCAAGGGAGGGGCGGAGGCTGGAGTGCAGCGGAAGCGGAACAAGGAGTCTGTCCTCGTTTCTCGTTTGTCTCGTCTTTCCGCCTCGTCGTTCCTCCTCCTCCTCCTCCTCCCCCTCATCCTCATCCTCATCCTCTATCCTCATCCCTCCTCCTCCTCCTCTCTCCTCCTCCTCATCTCATCATCATCATCATCATCACATCATCATCATCATCATCATCATCATCATCATCATCATCATCATCATCATCATCATCATCATCATCATCATCATCATCATCGTCGTCATCATCATCATCATCATCATCATCATCGTCGCTCCTATTCCCCCTCGGTCCCCCTATCCTCCTTCCCCCATCCTTTTCCATCCTCGTTTTCCTTCTTCTCGTCTTCCTCCTCTTCCTCTTCCTCGTACTCTCCCTGCTCCCCCTCCCCCTCCCCCTCCTCCTCCTCCTCCTCCTCCTCCTCCTCCTCCTCCTCCTCCTCCTCCTCCTGGCAACAGGAAGCGAAATTCCAGAGGGGGGGGGGACTTCCGCAGACTGGCTCACGCCAAACTGAACGCCACCTGGAAGATGAAAGCGAGAGTGTGCTTTCGGATGCCTCTTGGTGCTGAAGGCGAGATCCAGAATCTGAAGGCGCGCCGCTGGTTTATCCAGAGGGGGGATCCCGGAAGTGGGCGGATTCAAACGACTTGGACGAATCCATCCACTTCGGGGCTGAGTCCAACCAAATTGAGCCTATGCCAAACAGGAAAACATACAACTTCCAAAGACATACAAACATCTCTGCGTAGTAGGAATTGGTTTGGTTCTGGTGCTTCTTGGGGAATTATTCGGATACCCTCAAATTTCAGAGATCATCTTTAGGATGCATAAGGAATTCCTCAGAATTCGTGGAACCCTAATATGTGGGCAAACCTGTGGAATTCCTGAGTGGTCCTTCCATTTGATTCGGGAAACCATTGAACCTCGTAAATCCGCCGACCCCTTGGGGTCACGGCGCGTGAGATGCTTCCCCCTCCCCAAACCCCTCCCCCGGGGGCCTGGACCGGCCGGTTTGGAGGGGGGCGGGGGGGTGGGGGGCAAATCCATCATTCGCACACTTGGAGGCTCAGGAGGCCCCAAAACGGACCAAAAAGGTTCCAAAGGTTCCCGGAACGGTCCAAGAGAGCTACGAATCGACGAAAGATCGCCCCAAAACGCAGAAGATTGCCTCCACACGGCTCCAGAAGTCCACAATATGTTTGAAACAATATTATGAGGCGCCTCAAAGAGGCCCTCCAGAAGCAAAAATCGTCCCATCCTTAGGGAAAACGTGCACTTTCACGACATTCGCCCATTCGGCTTCCACGCAGCGCAAAACGGCCCAAGAAGCCTCCAAAATCGACCCTAACAAGGCCCCAAGACGGCGTCCGGGCGATCCACGAAGGCCCCAGAAATCATAGCAACGGCTTAAGGAAGCCGCTGCACGGTCCCAAAAGGGCTCCAAAACGGGGCAAGAGGGCCCCCAAAGGCTGTCCGGACGGCCCACGTGGAGAACGATTCGGTCCAAACCGCCCAAGATCGCCGCCAGACGGCCCCATGGGTGTCCAAGACGTTTGAAAACGCGACCACGAGGCGCTCCAAGAAGGCCTCCACGAGCAAAACCGTCCCATTTCCAAAATAAAACGTACATTTTCAGCACATTCGCTTCTTGGGCTTCCATGAAGCCCACAACGGCCCAATAAACCTCCAAGATCGACCTCCGGCACCCATAGAGACTCTCCAAAAGGCTCCACGACGGCCTCTGGGCGCCCCACGAAGGCCCCAGAAACCATAGCAACGGCCCAGGGGAACGGCAGAACGGTCCTAAGAAGGCTCCAAAACGTGTCTAGAGGGGCCTCACAGGCTGTCCGGACAAGCCACGCGGGGGACGATTGCTGCCGCCCCAAGGGGTCGGCGGTGTGCTGTAAGCCAATGAATCTTCCTTCCCAAATTCCGGAAGAGTACCACAGACATCCTTAGGGATCCTTAGGACTTGGTCGGAATCCTTTGGGTTTGGGGAGGTCCTTGGGCTACTTAGGAATCCGATGGATGCCTGAAGACACACGGGCAACAATGCGAATCACGTTCGCAATCCCAATCGTCGCTCGCGGCAAGCCGCGCAACCATTCTAAAAATAAACGGTCGACCAAACCACGTGCTACGTGTGCAACTTCGTCACCACCCGCCGCCTGGGGACGAGCCTGCTGCAGTCCGCTGCCCGCCCGCTGCAGCGGAAAAAACCACAGCATCGGGGAAAAATGAGCAACAGCACTCTTGTGTGTGCATAGGAGTGCCCCGTGGCAGCAAAGGAATGAGTCTAGGGGAACCGTATCAGTGACACGCCGCCGTCCTTCGGACGAGCACGAAGGAGCAATACGCCGACGAGCTCTCACCAGCGGCGTGCCCTTGATTCAGTCCCTCCCGACAGCTGGCGCCTTGAACCCGGGCACTGCGAGAAGTCAGGCGGAGAGCTGCTGGGCAAGCGGGCAGTGCGCGCCCGAACTGGGCGTCGAAGTGGGCCATCGCTCGGCTCACAGGGTTCCTCAGCATCACGAAGCCTCCGCCAGACCAGGGAGTGGAGCGGGCTGTGGGTGAGAGGGGTACTTGCTTTCTTTCGTACTCTCTTCCGCTGGCACTGTCGCGCGCATACCCCCCTCTGCTTCCGATCCTTCCTCTCTGTCCCATCCCACCTTCCTCCCCCGCTTGTGGGGCCCCTGTCGAAACCCTGCCCCTGTGCCCTTGCCCCCCCGTTCCCCCCTTGCCCCTCCCCCCTGAGCGGCCCCCCGCGCTCCTCCGCCGCCGCCTCCTCCTCCTCCTCCTCCTCCTCCTCCTCCTCCTCGGATGCCCCATGGTGCTCTCTGGAAGTCTCCAGGAGACCCTCAGATGGAGGCATCTGGAGGCCCAAAGAGGGCCAAAAGCGGCCAAAGACCTGGACCATCAATCATCTTCCCCCTCCTCCTACTGTGGAGCTCGACCAAAGGGACGCCCCATCGAGATACCTGGACCGTAAGGCCGCCTAGCGCATTTGTTTGCATCGCGCCGCAGATGTGGTAGAGCAGAAGATCCAAGAATCGCAGAGGATGTGCACATGTCGCAGTGGCAAGGCCCTTCTACAGGAATCCAGAACACGGCGCGCCTTGACTGACCGTGGCAGCTGCGAGCCGACCGGAGTCAACACCGCGAGGAGCCTCTCTGGACCCATGAAGCCCGAGGCACCCTGGCAAAGCACAAATGTTAGATCGGGCATGCTCCCCTACAGGCGGATTTTGGAAGAACAAATATAAAAATAGTAACCAAAGCATCGTCCCAGAGTATTTTTGAATATTCCTCCTGTGGAAAAACAGGCCCGACTTAACACAAATGGTGTCCGTCCACGCTCCCCTTCCCCGTCAACTCTCCCCCCCTGCTCAAGACCGACGTTACGTATCTTGTGGCATGGACTCGCAGAACTCTACACCCCATCCGTTATGTTGCATCTTCGGGAGACCTTGTTTGTCCCGTCGCGCCGCGATCCACGTCAAATCCGTGTCGAATCCGTGTCGAGCGAATCGAATCCGTGTCGAATACACGTCAAATCCGCGTCGAACCCACGTCGGAGTAGGTACAGAGAAGACTGCCATTTACAGGACAAGGAAGGCCCCCCGAAGATGCAAAGTAACATCCCTGGGAAACAGTTGCTCATCTCCAGTCGTCTCTTGCCGGCCCCGTGGACCGACGCCTCTTGAAGCACAAGCTCGGGCACGTTCCCACAGCTGGCCATCTCGATTATTCAGTGCCGCCGGAGGCCCAGGTCCTCTTCCCAACATCGCGCCCGAACACTCCCACGGGGTACGTTCTGGCCAGAAGTTCAAAGAGGATTCCAGCCGCGGCGACGAGGGCGCTGCCGCAGGCCCTGAGAGGCATCCGCCACCGTGCCCCCTAGCACGTGGAGGTGCTGCCTGGTAGGGTTTCTTTGAGCCTTCTCACGGCCCACTTCCTCGTCACGCCTCGCCGCGTGAGTCTCCCCTCCCCGTCCTTAGGCTCCCTGGGCGGCCTGATGCTTCTCAAGGGCTCTCCAAGCCTTTCCAAGGCTTCCAGAACGGACCAGGAGGACCACCACCGCCAAGATGGCCCGAGCTTGCCTCGAAGGGCACCCAACAGGCCCGAGAGAGACCCCAAGAGGCTCCGAAGGAGCGGCCTCAAGCCGCTTCAAAGACATCAGAGAGAAGGCCAAGATCCCCTCCAGGAATGCCAGAATCATCAACGCATTTTGACTTTCTGCTTTTTTCGACATGTTGGATGTCTCGGGCCACCCGCGGACCACTCTGGCTGCTCATGGCGGAAGTCTTCCGCCTCTGAATGCTCGCCCTCCTCCCCCCCCCCGCGGCCGCCCCGTCCTCCCCCTCCCCTCCTCCTGCATGCCGGCCAATTCGCTTTGTAGTGCCCCTGCATCGCTGCTACACTGGAGCGGATTGCCCCGCCTCGCCACCGCCGTTGTGCTTCATTCTACATGCTGGATGTCTCGGGCCTCTCGGCTCCAGACGGTCCCTCTTGTGACAAGCGCTTCGACAGCTCCCTTGTGGGCCCCAGGCAGGCCCCCTCCACGGCGCACGCCCCACGCCCCCCGCGGACACGCCACTGCGCGAGCTGAAGGATCTAGGGGTCCGGGGATCGAGAGATCGAGGGATCGAGGGATCGAGGGATCGAGGATCGAGGAGCGATAACCGAGGGATCGAGGCTCAAAGATCGAGGGAACGAGAGGTCCAGAGAGGGCCTAGGATCGAGGGATGGGGTCGAGGGATCGAGGGACTGAGGGACCGAGGGATCGAAGGTCGAGGGATCGAGGGATCGGCGACTCCGGTGTATTTTGAAACGGGTGTGATTTGCAACCCGCGCCTTTAAGAGGGGGGGGGCGGGCGAGGACTTCGGCAGAGATCTCCGCCGCGCCCCGACGAGGGCTTGTCAAACCTTTGGCACAGCGTAGGGGCCTGGGCCACCTAAGCCCCCACGGCGCCGATCGCAAATCACACCCCGGCATAACCACACCCGTTGTGAATTCTCGCCGACGAAGGATCGAAGGATCAAGAATCCGGGCGGGGCCGCAGGTCCCGTGATTCACGCGCCCCAGCCTCAGCGGGCTGAAGGTGCCAAAGTAGAGACTGGCCTGCCCCGCGCTACAGGAGGCTGGGAGAGGTGGGCACAGCGAAGAAGCCATGAGGCGCATCTCTCAGCCAATGCTGTCACGCAGGAAAAACATCGAAACGAGGAGGTCCATGAAGTTTCGTCCAACCTTGCCACAGCAATGCGCACACACAACCACGCATGTAATCAGACTGTATTCAGATGTTCAGCACACGCTGCCTGCCTCTGAGCGCCTCTTCCCTCCTGCTCGCCCGCCCTCCTACAGCCAAACACCTGAATGGTAAGGGCCACGTTGGTTTCGGAAGGGGCTTCCAGGTTCCTTGCGCCCTCCCTCGTGAATGTTTCTGGCCGCCTCCGCATTTCCTGGCGCAATCGGTGCCAAGCGATTACCATATCCAAGTGTAGGGTACTGTCGGCAATGGACGAAACCCTTAATGAAAACGGCCTAGGACCGAAACCGACGGACCTGGACACGCAAAAATGAAGGCCGCGACGCTCTCTCGCGAACCGAAAACGGCCAATTCCTTTATCCGCCGGCCCCTTGTGGGTCTCTAGGCGTGTGCGACTGTTCCCCCCCATAATCCCTTCCCAGAGACCCCAAACCTCGATTTTGACTCCCCCCCAGGGCCCGGCACGACCCACAGTTGAACGCGCTACGGGGGAACGGAGGGCCCCACAACGGGCAAAGAGGGCCCCAAGTCGGTGCAAGAGGGCTCAGGGTCGCCGAAAAATCGAGCCGAGACGCCCAAGATGGTACTCCGACGGCCCAAAATGCCCCCAAGACGCTCCCAGAGGCCTCCAACAGGCCCCCCAGGAGGGCCCCAAGAAACACACAATTTCCCATTCCCAATGGAAAACGTATGATTTTAGCACATTCGCCTCTTGGGCTTTCACTACGACCACGATGGCCCAAGAGGCTTCCAAAATCGCCCCAAACCGGCCCAAGCGGCCCCAAACAAGGCTCCAAAACGGCCCAAACGAAAACCCAGGAGGCACCAGAAGGGCACCAGAACGGTCCTTAGAAGCGCGTAGAGGGGGAACCCGAACGGACATGTCGAGCCTTCGGCCCCAAAACGCCCCCAGGGTGCCCCAAAAAACCACATGGAACACCCAACAAACTCCAAAAAAAAACCACCAGGCCTCCAGGAGGCCCTCAAACGATCCAAAAACTGCCTCCACGACGCCCCCGAAAAGCCTCCCAAAAGGCCCATCAACCGTCCGACTGGCCTCAGCCCCACAACCCAGGCACGGTGGAGGGAGGCCTCCAATCCCCCCCGAAAAACTTCAGACGAGACCCCATCAACTATCCCAGTGGCCTCAGACCCACAAGATAGGCACGGTGGCGGGCAGGACCGAAGGCCGTTCGATAAACTGATTGTCCCGACAATCATCCCGTGGGGAAAACAAAGTTCGGGGGTCTGGCGGGGATCATCAACCATCTTCCCGGGGAGGGTGATGTTAGTTAAGTGATGATGGTGATGATGGCGATGATGATGATGACGACAATGATCCTGGGCGCTCGCGTAAATTGACCATGTAGATCCGTGCAAGACTGACTCGAGAGATCTCGAGGCTCGCGGCTACAACTTGCCTGCGCAAGAGAGGCCCTCGGCGCTTCTGGCCAAGAAGCCCCTCTATCGCACGACCTCAAACCACTCGCCTATACAAGCTCGGCACCCTTTGCGCCGTCCTTGCACGGGGGGCACATGGTGCACGTTTGGGCGGCAGCGCTTGCATCCTCGAAGGTGGCGTGCTTCGGCTCGACCGCCGCGGGGCCCTTGCAGGGCTTGGGCTTGCTCTTGGCCTTGGCCAAGTCGTTGTCGCCGGCCTCCTTGAGCTCGTTGATCCGGTCGTTGCCTCGGGCGCGCGTCGCGCTGATGCTCGCGGGCGCTTGGCGGCCCTCGCCTCGGGTCTCGCGCAGGGCGCGCTCGGCCCAGCGACTCGCCCGCAGGCCGCAGGGCCAGGCGTCGGCCTAGAGCATCCCGTTGCTCCTCGCAGGGCAGGTCTCGCCAGGGCCAGCGGCGCCGAGCTTGCGGAGGATCCTCGCGGCGGCCTGGGGGGCCACGCGCGAACTCTACCGGCGATTTCTGAGGGGGGGAGCGGGGTTCGCTGCGTTCGGCAGCTCCCGGGCAAAGTGAGCCCTACCTCCCCCCTTCAGAAATCGCGGGGTGTAGGTGTGAGTTCGCATGTGGTCCTTTTGTGCCTGCTTGGCGTTCTCGGACGGCTGCTCGAGGGCGTCGCGGCGCCCCGCCGCGACGCCCCCGCCGATCCTCGAGACCTCGGCGGGCGTTGCTACAAGTGCCCCCTGCCCGGGGCGCCTCCAGGACTCGCTCCAAAACGGAGCGAAAAACTGGAGGCACTTTGGGGCAGGGGCAACTGTAGCAACCGCCGGCCTTGAGGAAGGTGTAGTGCGCGGGCGTCTCGAATGCGCGCAGATCAGGACGTGCTCGGCCTCGTGAAATCTCTCGGCCCGGCGCTTCCGCCCCTTTCGGGCAGCTGGGAGGCGGGTTCGTCCTCGCCCTGGCCCTCTCGAGCCCAGGCGACGGCCACCGTGGGCTCGACCGCCAGAACGGTCTCGCGGACGCCCGCGCGCTCCTCAATCTCGCCCAGCAGCGCGCGCGCTGTGCCCAGCTTGAGGGCGTCGCCCTTGACGATATGCTCGCAGTTCATGATCGCGCACTCCTCGGCGAGCTCGGTGCGGCGAGCCAGTCTTGTCTGGCGCCAGTCGAGCTTGTGCGGCTTGGGGAACTCGTAGTCCTGCTCGATCGTGACCTGTAGCGCTCGGGATTCACAACCAATCGCTGGCTTCAGCCTGCTTCCGCTTCGAGTCGTTTCGCCTGCTTCCGCCAGCTTTCCGCCGACTTCCGCCGCTTCCGCCGTCGCTCCCGCCGTTCCCGTTAGCTTCCGCTTGCTTCCGCCGTCTCAGTCGCCAGCAGGCGGAATCTAACGAGCGCCCGTGAGCCCCCCAGCCTCGCTGCTCTCGATCTGGAAGATCGCCGCGGTCTCCGCCTCGAGGACGCGCAGGCGGCGCGCGTCCTCGGTGCCCAGGAGTCGCCAGACGTCCTGCACTCTGCCGCGCCTGCCCTCGTGGACCCCCTCCTCGGTGACGCGCGCCACCTTGCCGTGCCAGGGGGGCCCTCGCATGACTCGAAGCCTGTTTTCTTCCTGGCCTTCGCTTGCTTCTTGGCGTGCTTCGCCGCTTGCTGCTCCTGCTTGAGCTTCTGGAGAAGCCCGTCTTCGCCTTCGGCGGCCTGCCTGCAAGCTTCGCCTTGGCCACGCCTCGGATCAGGTGCTCGAGCGAGGCCTCGCCGCCAGTCTCGGCCTTCTCGCGCTGCCACTTGCGCTCGTGATTGCCCGGGAACAGGCCCGAGAACTTGGGCGCCCACCTGCACCTGCCCTTGCGTTTACTTGTTCGCTTGAGCCTGATCCGGTTCTCGAGGGCGCGCGGGAACTGGATCTCCTTGATGCGCTCTTCTGGCGCCCTGAGCATGTCCTTCTGCTCGTCGCGCGAGCTCGAGGTCCTGCTCTCGGAGCTCCAGAAGGCAGGCGTTCTCGTCCTGCTCGTAGTCTCTGGGCAAGTCGCCCTGGTGGAAGCAATTCCCGCCGAATGCGCTCCACTCGGGCACGGGCGGCGCGCGCTCGGGCCACCTCGCCGGGCTCTGCTGCATGCCGCGGACGGGCTCGATGGAGTAGCTCCGCGGCCCCATGCCCGTGACGACCTTGAGCTCGCCCTGCTCTGTCGGCCAGACCGCGAGCAATCGGTTCTCTTGCGCCCCTTGGAGCGGCACAGCGCCCTTGTTCTGCTCGCGGAAGCGGGCGCGGGCCTCGGGGGCGCAGTAGAGGCGCTCGTAGGGCCCCCTCATTGGGTCGGGGACTTGTGCTGCTTCTGGGGGTCGGCCTGTGCCTTCTGGACCCAGTCCTGCTCCATGGCCCAGTGCATCTCGGCCTTGACCTCTCGGATCGTGGCCTGGAGCTGGCTGTGCTCGCGGGTGCCCAGCCCCTGCAAGCCCGCGGCGTCGGGGGCCATGGGCGCGTAGATCGCATTCTGAAGCCGCGCTCGGAGCGCCACTGCCTCGGCCCACTGGCTCGAGGGGCAGTCTGTGAACGCGAGGATCTGGCCGCGCTGCTGCTAGATGAAGTCGATGGCCCAGGAAGCGACGAGCTCGTCCGCCCAGGCCCGCGGCTGCCACCGCACGTCGATGGCCTCGAAGACCCGCGCGCGTTCATTCCTCGGAGAGCTCGGGCAGAGCGTTGCGCCAGCCCTTGCGCAATGCTCCTACGGGCTCGCCTGCTCGGAAGCGCCCCGTCTCGCCGTCGCGCCGCCCGTGGCGTCGCGCCGCCAGGTCTCTCCTCGAGGTTCGCGCTGCTCGCTCGGCAGCGCCATGCGCAGGGGACAAGCAGCGCGCTGCGCTTCCTGGCGGACTTGGGCCCCCTGCCCGGGTCGAACCAGCCCTCGACTGCGGAGATGTTGATGAGGGTGATCCCGTGTTTGTCCCCTGCGCTCGAGTAGGCCTGGTCCACTTGGTCCTTCTGGTCGGGGTGCTCTGCCAGGTGCTTGGCTTTCTCTGCCGCGAAGGCTGCCCGGTCCTCCTCGGCCTGCGTCTCGCGGTACCTGCGGCGGAGGTCATGGATGCTTCCCTTGGCGCCTGCGGCGTAGATCTCGTTCTCGTGGACGGGCGCGGCCCCCTCGCCCCGGAGCTTGAGCCAGAGCGCGGCGGCGTCGACAACGACCGCCCTCGTGCTAGCCCACTGCTGGGCGAAGGTCTCGATGCCCCCGGCGAAGAGGCCGAGGCCCTCGCCACCAGGTGCACGAACCTCGTAGCGGTAGGAGTAGTAGTAGTAGTAGTGGTAGTAGTAGTAGTAGTAGTAGTAGTCGTCGGAGTAGTAGTAGTTGTAGTAGTTGTAATTGTAGTGGTAGTGGTAGTAGTAGTAGTTGTAGTAGTAGTAGTAGTAGTAGTTGTTGTTGTAGTAGTGGTAGTGGTAGTAGTAGTAGTAGTAGTGGTAGTAGTAGTAGTAGTAGTA